CATAAACACCTAGTGTAGACCAGGCCTTAGTGTGTGTAGATGCAGTCTGCTAGACAAGAAACTCACACACTGTGTATTCTCTCTTGGAGGACTTACTTTTGTTCTTTTACTACAAAAGAAAAGGTAATATAAAAAGTGTATCTATGTATGGTTGCTCTTTGTGTATGGAAAAAACATAACATACTAAGGGGAATTTAGGAAGGCAGAATGTAATCTCCTGAGTTGGTATTTGGTCAGAACACCAGGGTTAACACTCCTACACTCGCACAAAGAGTCATGGAAACTTTTCAGTTGAAAAGGAGCTTGATTTTATGTCTTATCTACCCCCCAATCCAATTACCACAATAATGTATTGTAAGTGATATTGGAATGATTTTAGCACTTCTCTGAGAGGTTGTTTTGTCATTAGGAACTTGTCATTGTGATTTATAGAAAGCAGGGAAATATGGAGTGGCAGCTTTCACACAGGCAAGTGCATATCCTACATTCAAATATACAAAACTTCAGAGGTGTCTAATCGTGATGTATAAGAGGTAAGGATTGCTAGGCAAATGAACATGAATTTGAGAGAGAGACACTACCTACATTACGATAGTTTGACACTGGAGTAATGATAATCCATTTCTGAAACTGGAATTAAAAGGCAATGTAGGGCAAGATTTTCAAAAGTGACTAGTAATTTTGGGTACCTCATTTTTGGGTGTCTGAGTTGATACCCCTTAAAGTGGCTTGATTCTCAGTGGGTGGATGCTCAGTTCTTGCTGAAAAATCAGTCCCCTTTAAGAGGGTCTCAAGTTGGACACCCAAAAATGAGGTATCCCAAATTAGTAGGCACTTTTGCAAATCTTGACTATCTGTATTCAGAAAAAAACCTTGGAAATTAAATTGGTCTGGATTATTCAACTTCAGAGATCAATTGACATAAAATACAATATATTATTATAAAGCAATTCAAATCTAGCAATTAATCTTTCAGACATCTTGAAACTTCAGTTTATGCCTAAGGAACCAGTATTCCATTTTCCTATGAGATTTTTCTTGGTGTTAACTATGGGCCAGATTTTGAGAACCCTTACTCATGTGAGTAGTCCCATTGACTTCAGTGGGTCTATATGCATAAACAAGGACCGCAGCTGTCTTTGCTGTTTTGCCAGCCAGGGCAGAAAAAGTTTTTCATGCCCCCTTCCTCCCCCCCCCGTGAGCAACCAGGAGTGGGGGGAAGGCTGGCCAATCAGCAGAGCAAAAATGGCCACCTGATCAGAGAAGTGCAACAAACAAACAAACAAACAAACAGAGAAGTGCAGCAATATGGCACCCCATGGAAGCTGGCACCCAGGGCCACTGCCCTGCTCACCCACTCCTAAAACTGGCCCTGTGTAACAGCTACTCGCATGAATCAGTTTGCAGGAGCATGCTCTAACTGAGAATCTAAATCACAGTTTGTGTTCATTAGTTCTTTGGAGGGTCTGAAGGGGAGTGGACAAAATTAGTTTCAAAGAAACATCTGCCAGATTCATAAGAAACTTGCTGGCTGAGTTTGGAGTTGGCAGTAGACCCTCTGCAGTTTTGGTAGATTAGTTCACAGTTAATAAAAGCTAAACACTTTAATGAACAACTGCACTTATTTTGCTCATACCAGAATTGTGAAAATTAAGACACACTTCCCTGAATGTACTGAGAAATCAGTTTTATTTATAACTTGAAATCACATTTGGTATTTCCAAACATAGTGGAAGCTGCTGCCTTCTTGTAAATTACGGACATTTGCAAGGCTAGCAGGACAAGAGCTCAGTGAGAGCCTGGAAATCAGTGTCCCATTTGCTTTGCTAATGACTAATAATCATCAGGGTCCAAATTCTGCTATCCTTACTCATGCCAGTAATCTCATTGAAGTGTCTTTGGTGACTACTGCTTACAAGAGCAAAGGGATTAAGGTTTAGCGCCAAAAGAACTTTTTGGTTTCAATGTATGATTTCCATAAGGATCATAGAGAGCCCCATCCTGCAAGCCTCATGCAGGCAGAACTCCCACTGCTTTCAACAGAATATATGGGCAACTATGGATCCCCGTTTTAGAACATAGTGCTGTATTCTACAGTAATTGTCCCAGACCCTGCAGTAATACTATTTGAAGCTGTAGCATTTTGGATCTTTGTTGCAGAATACACTGGAGTGGGGGGTTTGTTTGTTGCAGATTCAGGTGAGGTATCCACAGTTAAACTCTAAAGAAACAAGATCCATTTCCAGGTTAATATCACTCATACTAGTAAAGAGAAACACAGAGGAAGATAAATACCAGATATGTAGACTGCAGCATTTCTCAGTAGGTTGTTTTTCAATCTTTTTCACAAGGTGTCAACTGTTGTTTAACCTTACAGGGAAGCAGAAAAACAGGAATGAGTTAGGGCTGAGCTCTGGTTTAGATGCATTCATTTTCCTTAAATCACTCCGGTGTTCTGCCCTATGAAATCATTAATGAATATCCAGCAGCAAGGACAACACAGAACACTGCACATTAAAGTGATGGAAGATAATGTGGGAGTTGTAAATTTTGCAATAAAATTATACATTAAGAAGAGCCCCAGGAGAATCATTAGGAATTAAAATATAGCTGATTATGTGATAGAGATATTGAGCCTGAATTGTAGGGCAACATCTCTATTTACGTAATATTTAGATTAAGGATGGACAAACCTGCTCGGATAAAAATCAGAACAGATTAGAATCTATGTTTCAAACTCAACCCTATTCCAAACCTTTTGTGCTTTCAGTTAGGTCCTGATCCAGAGACCAGGGCAGTCAATAGAAAGACACCTTCTGACTTGAATGGGCTGTGGTTCAAACCCTAACTAAATCTGTATCTGATATGAGGGTATTTTTACTTGAGTATGGAGATTCCTAAATATATTTAGCTACATTGTAAAACCTACTTTCCATATCCCCATGAGACCCACAAGTTTTCTGACACAAAGAAGAGCACTTTAAAAGAATCTTTTTTCATCGCCTGGGAGTGGTGGATTGAGAAGTTCTGACTCCTGGGTTTCAAGGAAATCCTTAAACAATGTTGTATTTTGTGCTAATAGATTGATAAAGAGATTACTGCAAAAAGGTAGGTGTTATAAGCAATGTTATCAGCCCCAAGACATATGAGGAACCACGCCATGTGATAGCTTTGTTTCTCTTCCCATTCTTCCTGCAACACTGAAACAACATAAAGTAATGCAAGGCTGTGTACAATTTTGCATTAACAGTACAGTACACTGAAGTTATTGGGTCTCTGTCTATGTGATGCTCCTTGCAGGATCAGGTCCTAATGATAAGAAACCACTGTTGTGAATAGCTGGTCTTCAGAGTGAAGAATCTAGAAGTTATTTATGAAATAAGCCTGAGGTTGGTATTGGGACCAATATTATATAAAATATTTATTAATGATTTAAAGGAGAAAAGTTGCAAAATCTGCAGATGACTTTATGGGTGCATCTACACTGCAGGATTTTTTTTTTTGAAAGCGCATAGCATGCATACACACATTGCCCCCCAGCATGGGTATAAGTAGCAAAGAAGATGGTGAGGCATGGATTAAAAATATATAAGCTAATTAATTTTATAAGCATTACCAACATTTTTTCATTCTGTAGGCTAAAATAAGGATAAAATAATGTAATGCTTCATGATACAGTATAAGCTGATCAGCTGTGGGGGTCAGGAAGGAATTTTTTAATCCCCTGGGCCTCCCTCTGCACGGATACATGCATGTAAAAATATTGAATTTCATAGTTGGCACTAACAGAAGTTTCCGTCTGCTTCTGTAGCATCAGCTATGGGCCGGTCTGGAGCCTGGATGCCAGACTCTATGTACATGTGTTCTGATCTATAAGCCTATGCTCCAGTAGCTAATGTTTCTATTAAAAGGGCAAAAAAGCAAAGGAAACAGAAGGGGACAATCCTATATTGTGTCTTGTGGACTTGGGCTGGACCTACATACAGCTAATTCTTAAGTAAATGCAATGAAATATTTTAATAAATGACAGTTCTTTCTTTTCACATAAAAAGATTGGCACTTGTTGGCACTAAACAGAGTGATTACAAAATAACTGGATTCAAATCAGTGTTCTTTTGCAATCCAATTTTGAGGTTAAAGAGTTTCCTTGTTTCTTTTCTTTTTCTGTTACTGAAACATTTAATGTGCACTCTTTAGCAACAGAGATATTAAAAATGAAGCCTGGAGGAGTTTTAATCATTCACATGTCTCATGAATCCCTCACTTATTCATATTCAGAAATAAGATTCTATCATACTGTACACAATAGTTCAATTTTCAAATGAGCAGTGGGGTGCAGTTTCCTACTTAATTTCTGGTGTTTGGAATAGCTGTAAAGCTGGCTTGAAATGGCATTTGCCTTATCTCATGTATGGAAAGGTGATCTGGAAATAAAAGTGATTCACTGATATTTTATTCTATAATTCTTACATTTTTTCATCCAGACAGTAATTTTTTTGTTAATGAAATCATTGCTTACTCATCAGTCTGTATGGTAAATGAATGATTCCATGAGCCAGGTTCATCTTTAGTGTAACGCTATTGAAAATGGTTGAACTCAGTGGTTGAATTTAATGTTATATCAGGGTTGAATTTTGGTCTGTTGTATTAAAGTTATTTTATATTATATTTCATTTTTTAAAAATATTTTTCATATATTAAGCAGGCTTCTTATTTTTTGATATTGGAGTTACTGCTCTACATTATTAAGTTGTGAAATAAAACCTCATCCCAGAGAATTAAATGGAAAATTTAATCTAGCACTGCATCTCTTATGTAGAAATCTTCATTTCCTGTCCTAAACTATTGGGTAGTATTGATGTGCACTGTTGAACAGCTGCTACATTCCATCCCAGAATGTCTGCATTTTGCTTGTGGATGAAGTGATTCCTATATGCAAATAGAGTTAAATTCTGTCCTGGGGTACACCGCCCTGAAGGAGAGGAAGGTGATCAGGAGCAGTCCACATGGATTCACCAAGGGCAAGTCATGCCTGACCAACCTGATTGCCTTCTATGATGAGATAACTGGCTCTGTGGATATGGGGAAAGCGGTGGACATGCTACATCTTGACTTTAGCTAAGCTTTTCATATGGTCTCCCACAGTATTCTTGCCAGCAAGTTAAAAAAGAATGGATTGGATGAATGGACTAAAAGGTGGATAGAAAGCTGGCTAGATTGTCAGGCTCAGCGGGTAGTGATCAATGGCACCATGTCTAGTTTGCATCCGGTATCAAGCGGAGTGCCCCAGGGGTCAGTCCTGGGGCCGGTTTTGTTCAACATCTTCATTAATTATCTGAATGATGGGATGGATTGCACCCTCAGCAAGTTCACAGATGAACTAAGCTGGGGGAACAGGTAGATACGCTCGAGGGTAGGGATAGAGTCCAGAGTGACCTGGATAAATTGGAGGATTGGGCTAAAAGAAATCTGATGGGGTTCAACAAGGACAAGTGCAGAGTCCTGCACTTAGGACGGAAGAATCCCATGCACTGCTACAGGCTGGGGACCAACTGGCTAAGTGGCAGTTCTGCAGAAAAGGACCTGGGGATTACAGTGGACGAGAAGCTGGATTTGAGTCAACACTGTGCCCTTGTTGCCAAGAAGGCTAATGACATATTGGGCTGCATTAGTAGGAGCACTGCCAGCAGATCGAGGGAAGTGATTATTCCCCTCTATTCGGCACTGGTGAGGCCACATCTGGAGTACTGCGTCCAGTTTTGGGCTCCCCACTACAGAAAGGATGTGGACAAATTGGAGCAAGTCCAGCAGAGGGCAACGAAAATGATTAGGGGGTTGGGGCACGTGACTTATGAGAAGAGGCTGAGGGAACTGGGCTTATTTAGTCTGCAGAAGAGAAGAGTGAGTGAGGCTTTGATAGCAGCCTTCAACTACCTGAAGGGGGCGTTCCAAAGAGGATCGAGCTAGGCTATTCTCAGTGGTGGCAGATGACAGAACAAGGAGCAATGGTCTCAAGTTGCAGTGGGGGAGGTCTAGAGTGGATATTAGGAAAAACTATTTCAGTAAGAGAGTGGTGAAGCACTGGAATGGGTTACCTAGGGAAGTGGTGGAATTCCATCCTTAGAGGTTTTTAAGGCCCGGCTTGACAAAGCCCTGGCTGGGATGATTTAATTGGTGTTGGTCCTGCTTTGAGCAGGGGATTGGACTAGATGACCTCCTGAGGTCTCTTCTAACCCTAATCTTCTATGATTCTATATCCATCCAATCACAAACCTCTACAAAAGGTACCCAAAGAAGCCTGTCTCCAAACAGCTCTTATGATACAGTTGAGGAAACACCCTGGTTCATAAAGCTAGATTTGGATCATTTGCTAAAATCTACAGAGCTGTTGCTGTACAATACTGTTTCACAGAGTCAAGTGGCACTACTGCCAATATGGGCTTGGTGAAGAGCCAGACTGCCTAACGCAATAGACTAGACAAAGAAGATAACTCGATCACCAGGTGGCATAATATTGCACTTTTCTTGACATTCTGGTTGTAAAGCATGATCTAACTTCCTGGGATTACTCTGGTCTGTTCCAATTGCATGGAGTTTGTTGGAAACTGTGTCAAGTATTTTTAATTTTCATAGGCAAAAAATGCTAGAACATGCTTTCTCTTCCAACTGTAAGTCATGAAATCAAGCAACAATTAATTGATCTGTGGTATAAGAGTAATCAAATTTCTGCTCAGTAAGATGATACTCCACCCTTATTCAGAGTAATAGGATATGTTTATTTCAGGCTGTACCAGTCACAGCATTATGCTCAATGAAGTGCAGGACTCCCCCCCCCCCCATGTGGTATCTCTAAACATATATGGGAGGACATAGCCATGGACAAGTTTGTCATTAGAAGTTTTTTGTTATAAGATTTATGATCTTCTATCAATGGCTTTGTTATGAATCAGTCTTCCTATGGGTGATTCTGACGAGTCAAAATATTTAGTCACGTATTTTCTATTGATTTCCATTTACATAAAGCTGCAGTCTTCTTGAGCTAGTGCTTCTGTGTAACTTCAATATGCATATGCCTTGAGTTAATGGAATAAGAGGATAGCAGAGGTAAGTCATTCCAAGAATGTTTGGCTTTATGAGGTTGGTAATATAGCTGGTTAAAAATTTTCAACACAAAGTCTTTTTAATCTCCAAATCTGCATAAGGCAGTGGTCCTGTGGTCATATAATTAAAAACTATCATAATGCATATGAAGAAAGAGACTGAATTATGGTTGCACAGGCAACCTGAATTCTGACTTTTCCTAACTTTTGAGTGAGTGATTTTGCAACCTTAATAATGTTTGTTTAGCCCAGTGTTTTTGGATATAATAT